AGACAAAATTTGAAAAAACAATATATATATATATATATATAATATAATATTTAAATCAAAATTAATATTTATAAACATATTATGTATATATATATATATATACATGTGAAATATTTGCAAATTCTGCTGGAAAATAAATACACATATTTATTTTTAAATTAAAACATATACTGGATCCTGGGGTTAAGTCGTTGCATTGCTGTTTTGTTATAGCGGGACTAGCGTGTACCTTGCAGTGTGCATATTCTAAAGCTTTATTTTATGGTAATATATGTTGAATAGATTCTGATATTTTGGTTTTGGGTAAGCGTGTGCTTTGCGGTGCTTTTCTTCCGTATTGTTGGGTAATACATTTTATTAGAAAATTTGAATTGGTGCTAGATTGTTGGTAAATTGCTTCGGGGTGGGGGGGTGTTGCTGAGTGATTGCTACTAAATCAGTGTGGTTTCGGTTCGGTTCGGTTTCGGTTTCTAGTATTTGCTATAGGCCCGGTTCGGTTTATATTCGGTTTCGGTTCCTGCGGTTCCTGGTCGATTTCGGTTCGGTTTGGTTTGGTGTTTGGAACATTTTATATTGATATTTGTTTCCCACCTGCCAGGTAAGGGTTGTTAGATTTTATGTCAGTTGCTTCCTCCTGCTTCTCCTCCTCCTCCTCCTCCGCCTCTTCCTGCCTCGTCCTCCTCTCCTCCTCCTCGTCCTCCTCGTCGTCCTCATCGTCCTCGTCGTCCTCGTCGTCCTTACTTAACTGCGACCCGCGATCTACAGTGTTCTTTGCCGGACCTTAACCACGACCATCTACGCCTAGTATTCCCTGCCGGACCTTAACCACGACCATTTACGCCTAATGTTCCCTGCCGGACCTCAACCACGACTATCCTTACCCAGTGTTCCCTGCCGGACCTCAACCACGACCATCTACGCCCAGTATTCCCTGCCGGACCTTAACCGCGAGTATTTATGCCAAGTGTTCCCTGCCGGACCTCATGTAGGAAGATATGGGATAAAGAATGTACAGAAGAAAATTAGAAAAAATGTTAGAAAGAATGTTAGAAGATATACCAGAAAATATGCTAGAAGATATGCCAGATAGAATGCCAGATAATATGCTAGAAGATATGCCAGATAGAATGCCAGATAGAATACCAGAAGATTTGCCAGATAGAATGCCAGAAAATATGCCAAAAGATATGCCAGATAGATATGTCAGAAGATATGCCAGAAGATATGCCAGAAGATATGCCAGAAGATATGTCAGAATATATGCCAGAAGATATGTCAGATAGAATGCCAGAAGATATGTCAGAATATATGCCAGA